ACTGTCTACACAATAAAAGCCAAACTCCAAAATCCAAGGACTTTTTATTATTTGGCTTTTGCCTATCTGAGCTATGGGCATATATTCAATGTATACATCCTAAAGCACCACAGAAACAAAAATGTGAAAAGCTTAAAAAAGCTTACACATAATCTCCTTCAGCAAAAAGCCAGTTTCATTTACTAAACTTTCCTTTCAATGTCTTCACATTTGCAGACATGTAAAGACAAAATTGTAGAAATAGAATGTTTTGTCCTAGCCCCTGTTGTTTATTTAGGAAATATTTCTCATTTTTACATAAGATTTTCTTTTCTAATACAATAATATCTTCTAACATACTAGTCAGATTCTATACTACTTCATATGACAACCGAGTGAACTAAAAAAAAAACACAACTCTAAGAAGGGATAGCTGAAGCTTCTCCTGTAGGGTGCTACAGGCCCAGGGCTTAGCAAGCAGAGATCCCCTCTTAGGGAACAACCTATGCAAGAATATGTGAACACACTGATAAGCAAACAGTATACATATATTTTTCTTTTCCTGTGCAGTTGGTCTCCTTAGTCATTGTTCACAAGACTCCAACAAGTTGTAGAGATATGCAGGTCCTGACTCGAGGCCCAGATTCTTCTCCAGCATTGTGCTAAGGGACTGTACATCACAGGGCAGAGACTATGCTCCCTTAGGCCACTTGGACAGAGCCCAAAGAAAGTGACTTCCCAGGGAGTATCCCTGTTAGAGCAAATAGGATATTTACTTGGGGCAGAGAGTGCCCCTATGAATAAGCAGGCAAGAAGCAGAGTGGGAGAACTGGAATCAGGCCACCTTTATTCAAATTCTATCTCCTTCACTCACTGTTTGATCTACTAGGTCCTACAGTAGCTACCTCCAAGAGGCCTTGAGAAATAAATCACAGGGGCTCTTAGCACAGTGTCTGGGATAGAGCGATCATTCAATAAAGTTTTCTCTCCAGTAAAAATCATATTAATGACATCTATATCTTTGTGTCATTTAAAAACTCTAAAAAAAAATTATTACCATAAAGATATTATGGTATTATAGAATGATGGAATGGGATTAGTGAGTTAAAATATACAAATAAGGACCTAAATTTGAACTTTTTATTTTTTCACATAAAATCAAGTATATAGGTGGTAAACAGTCATGAACTGCCATTCCAAATGTAATAGTCCTAGGAAACATAGTAAAATTTCATGTGGGGGGAGGTTAAGAAGAAATGTTAGTCATGGTTAACGTATGAAAGGCAATGAGGACTTGGGGTTCTTCCCCATAGTGGGAAGGGTCAGCCAGGATGACCTAGGCCTTTCCAGTTCTGCAATCTATGAACCCATTTCTCCATGCCATGTCCTTCCACCTCCGTTACAGCACACAGCTTGTCCCCCAAAGAGACAGATTCCTCCCTCTTTCTTAAACATGCCTCATCTCTGAAAAAGATTTTGCTCATCTCATGTTCTTTCACCTCACCTCCACCTGGAGCATCCAACCCCAGCCATCCTCAAAAAGACCCAGTTTGCATCTGTCCCTTCCTCCAGGTCCTAAGTTAGTATTCCACTCATCCTTAAAAACTCAGAGCATTTATTATGTCATTCCAAGTTTAATGGCATCAACCGTCTAAAAACTTAAAAACTACTTTCTCTTACATATGAAATAATACAGCATTGGTCTTCATAGATCTAAGGTGCACATATGTGCATATACTGCGTCATTTAATTTAGCTGGGTCTATGGCCACATTGGCAGAAGTCTATCTCAACCAGGATCTGGAGACAAACCAGGTTTCTACTGCATTAATATCAACATATTCCTTCTGGTCAAGCTGACAAATGTATGGTAATGCAAAATTCAATAGTTGATACAATTCAAGGTGTGTGTTTATTAATCAATTCTAAATAGTTAAAGTCTGAATACAAGGAGGAAACTATATGTTAACAAAGTTTATTTAAAAACTTTGTGTTAGAGCGCTTTTTTTTCTTTAATTAAGCCTCATTTATGAAGTGTTTTAAATTTCCTGAAATCCCATTATGGTTTATAAATTTAACCAACCCTTTTTGCCAACTGACACTGGATAAGATCATAGCACATATGCTATTATCTGGGGATTAAGAAGAGGGGACTGAAATGCGTATTTGGATATAGAAACACTTATAAATTAAACAAAGTTACCAGAATAAATCATCTCTACAGAACACAAACGTTAAAAAAAGTCATATAATATTAATAAAAGTATGATATCTTAAAGTTTCAAATTCTTAATATGAAGAATCATAATATGATAACAGTGTGTGAATCTCTAATAGGCAATGAGCTTTATACGGGGATAGTAGGTAGGTGCTAAGCCATAGGTTATCATATTATAACATGGGAAGCAGTTATGGGATCCTGCCCCCATGCATGATCTCAGTTCTCTTGGGTGTTGCTTTCACCCATGACTTACGAGGTTTTCCGGTTTGAAGCCTCATCATCAGTGTGTAAAGAGAAGCTGCTCCAGAGGCAACAGGGGGAGAAGCAGCTCTGGTGGCATTTGAACTGGAGATACTCAGGCAGAGAAACCAATCTGGTGGTGGTGTAAGAGATGAACAAAACCAGAGGATGAGGAGAGAGCAGGACAAGAAAGGACAAAGTAGAGAAGACAATCAGAAATGAAATGGCAGAAGGAAAAAGGAGAAAAAGAAAAGTCAAAACGTGAAGACAGTGTGGAGAGCAGAGGACAAAAGGGGAGAGGAGGAGGAGGAGGAGAGAAAAAATGTAAACAATCTTTGGGTATATGAAGAGCAACATGCCCGTACATCTGATTGCTGTTTCTGTAAGTCACAGACAATATTCAATGACCCCAGGCACAAATCCATGAACCACAAGAGCTGAATATCATCACTAAAAAGAAAAATCTAAGCTTCCAGCCAGTAAGGGGCATGAAAACTACTGCCATGTTGACTTTCTTAAAATACTAGAAACGATGAAACAGAGTCCAATGAAATTCAATTATTTTCCTTCCTGAGCTTGAAACTATTGAAACAAAATTGAAGAATGTGATGTTGGTTTCTTAGATGATCATCTTCCAGCACACCTGCCAATCAGAAAAGTCATGTATTCTTGTGTTTCTCCAGATACAATTTCCATCATGTCTAGCTTCATACTTTTGATCTATATTTCCAATTAAAAATGAATGGTAGCAGGATACCTTGAGCAGCTCAGGCTTGGCTTTGATGACTGTACCTAACATTCCAGGATCCAGGGTCACGTCCCTGCTTGGGCCTGGGACATTTCTTTTATTTTCCTGATTCTTCCATTTTACTGGAAAGCATGTGTTCATAAGGAAAAGTCTTCATTAAAATGTTTTTAATCATTTAATATATTAGTCAAAAAAATGAATCTTGTTAGGGTGGGAGCTGGCAGATATAAGATACTTTCTAAGTAAGAAATAATAGAAAACCAAATTAAAATGTTCTTTGCAAATTAAACCCATATATATAATTATAGTTAAACTAGTGGTAAGAATTTCCATTTCAGTACCAAGGTGATTATGAAATTCTTTAGGCACAGTTGGCTTTTCTTTAACTTCCAAATCAGGCTATATATTCTTCTGCCCACATTTGAAGTTGATGCAGACTAGCAGGTTATATTGCCCTTGGCCCAATGCAAATACCAGGAGGTGAATTGAAACACCGCTCTTTAATCATTTTTAATTAATTCACATTAAACTTATTGGCATTTTTGGCTTTTCTAAACAGGAAAGTTTCAAATGGCTTATTGGAGCCATCATAATCAAACATCAAGTCCTTCAGCAGAACTGAACTTCACTGTAGAGATTTTAAGTTTCTATAATCAAAACCAAGTCAAAGGGACAAGTTAATTAAAAGGCAACCAAATGTGACAGGTATGAAAGTCACATTGTCACTAACTGTAACATGACACTCAGACTCTACTACAATGACCCAAAAGACACACTAATGTTAATAAACCCTTAGAGAATTGATGTTCCTTCACCACATCACGCTTAAAATAAGTGAAAGTAAATTATTAATCTACAAAGAATAAACAACATGTGGGAGTGAGGATCTTATTAATAAGTTTTTGTTTTTTTTTTTTTTAATTAAACTCATGGACCATAGAAACCTCCATGTACTTGCTCCACATGATATCTCTATCTTCACAGGCAAGAGTGTTGATTTACTTACAATGTAAATTAACTCTGCATTATCTGGCAACTTACAAAAGCTCAAAAATATTTTTCTATTGATGAATGATCGCAAGTATTAGTGAATGAACAACCTCACTGACATTACACCAATAACACATATAGGTGGTCAGTATCAATCCTCCCTCATCATGGTGGTATTTCAGTGAGGAAGGATTTAAGAGAAAATCTTAAGGAGGAAATATAAGTTGATGACTGAAGCACATTTAACCAAAGGAATACTGCCTAAACATTTAAAATCATCATCATCATCATCATCATCATCATCATCATCATCATCATCACCACTCAAGCATTCTACACCAATGACTAGAACACAGACCTGAGCTTCACAGACCAGTGGAGGAAAACAGGCCCAGAAGGGTATGAAAAGCAACAAGGGGATCTTTAGATGCTCAGACCTCAAAGTTCTGCCTCTATCCTAGAAAGAGTGCCTACATCATGATGTCAACAGCTACCCAGTTTCAGAAACTTACCTGCTATGAGGGCTACTCTCTTCTATCATGTGGCAGCAGCATTTTCTGACTTTCTGTGCTCAATCAAAGTATAGTATTTCCAGGAAGATATACAGCACTATAGAGTACAGGCCAAAGTAAGAGCCCATGAACTCCTAAAGAAACTTTCATTAGCATCACTAGAAATGGAGTGCTATGCAGCATGATGCACTGTATCAGTCTGATACAATCCAGGCAGTGAGTGTACCACTGCCCTGGATCAGCAGAGGAGGGAGGGACCCTGCTGCACCTGTGCATCCTACCAAAGCTGCTTCCTGATGAAAGGCACTTACCGCAGTGCCGAATGTCTTCCAGAACGGGATACACTGTTGCCCACGGGTGATGGCAGGTTGCTCCCTCTGTGCAGGTCCTCGATGGACCTACTCCAGGGCTTCGATTTGTCCACCGAACTTTCCACTGTACTTTCCACACTTTCAAAGTCAAAACTAAAACAAAAGAGGAATGTCATTGAAGACTTAAAAATTCACTTTCACACATATACATAGGTACATTTGCTGTGTATGTAATACATTTATTTACATCTTGGTATGTATTTGCAGACAGAACTAAAAAGGAAATACAAAAGAATTTCTACGGACTCAGATTGAAAGCACAGATGACAAATACTAGGCTGGCAAAAGAATCATGGAACAACAAACAAAAAATTAAATAGTGATGTATTATTTGTATTTTAATATAGGGTTTATTAGCTTACCAATTGCTAAAATGCTATGATAGAAATGGGGGAGTCCTACAGCTGTCTTCATTTTGCTTTAACAAGTCAATATGTTAGGCTTATGCTAATTTATTCCTACCCATCAATTTTCACTGAGCATTCTCTCCTAGTGTGTTGGCAAGTATACTTTTCCAACCATATGTGATACATTAGTAGCGAAGTTATGGATTTGCTTTGATTTTGGAATCTTTTCCCAATGTGGTGCTTTTAAAAGCAAGACTGTTGTTTCTCTGACATTTTTTGAGGTTATTACTCATGCTAACCATGTTAGAATAAATGGCAAGTTACGTTGCTCATTCTTGTACAGTTTTAGGAACAAAGTCTTTAAACAGACAGACCTTTGTGTTCCATGAATCTTTTTTCCTCATAAAATCAGTAGCTCTGCTTTCTCAAAACCAAAGCAGCAGCAAAAACCACTGTATTAATTATTTCTACCTACAATTCCACAACACCTGATTGGGCAGTAGAATAAAGGAAGCTATAATTAATATCTCCCGAATATCTTAGAAAATATTGCAAAAGAAAAATAACATATACTGGAAATGATTGATGATTTTTTTAAATTAAAATATGACTGCCAAAATAAAAGTATCATTAGAATAGTCATCTGAAAACTAGGTGATACTTTTCCAGCTATTAAAGCCTGATCTGCAAAGACTGATGCACAAAGCCACTGCAGAGATCTGATGAAAATGTTGGCATGCTTTTTGAAGCAAGAGAAATACTCAACAAAAAAGAGGCAGAACAGGGTAATCTAAGAAAACTTTTGAATACAAAAAAGAGAAAGCTATCATTAAGACTAGAGGTTTAAGTCAAAGGGATCACTCATGAAATTGACAAGCTCACCAGATCCCCCTGCAGCCCTCGAATCATTCAGCCATCCAGCATCTATCGCCCCTACTCTCACATGGAAAAAGGAAACATGCACCTTAATGAATGCTTCTATTTTAGAGATAGGATCTAAGCCTATTGTTTCACATTCTATAGGCTGGGAAACTGAGATATGCCAAGGAATAGAAGGAAATTTTTTATTTCATTAATACAAAAGACCAACTATATTATGTAATTTATTATCTAAGTAATGCAAAACCAAATGAAAGCTAATAGCAAAAAGTTTAAAGCTAATACCAAAACAAAATCCAAAGTACAAGATTAGGAAACAAGAATTCTTTGAGTTTTGAACTTTTGTGGGCTACTGTCTTACGCTGTAGACTACAAGAATTCCAACACAGCACCACAACCTTTGCTCATTCATACTATATGAAGGCACATCTGGGAAATCTAGTTTACAAGCTGCATTGTCATATATAAAGCATTCATTATAGCAAACACAGAATATACAACATGGTATTCTTATTCATTATTCCTGATTTTTCGTAGCCCTCCCTCAATTCCATAAACATTACCCTAGAACTTCAAAATATATGAGATTATTATTCTGCTTTATCAAATAATATGAAGCATAAAAAAGATTAGCAGATTTTGATAGCACAGAGATATGTAAGAAATACCCTTTGATAGAACATGCTATAAAAACCAGGATTATGTTTCAGGAACAATTTCTCAGGGAGATAAGAATTTATCTGCTGGCTTTTATTTATTTATTTAGTCTATTCCATCTAATATATGACAGGTAACAAAACAGAAACTCATGGAGCCAGTTTCAGTTAACATTTCAGTTTCTGCTTCTGTAAGGTGAGAATAATTATTTCCTTTTCACATATTCTCAGGGAAGTGATAGGGATTATATGATAACATCTGGTTAGGTCTTAGGACTCTTTTAGAGTGAGGCAATATAAAAAAACAAGTTACTAATTTTAAAAGAATAGTGAGGGTGGAAGAAGTACCACCTAGGCTGGAACATCTTTCAATCAAATTAAAACTACAGTATTATTGCCTCAATCTATGTCAACAAAACCTGTGGATGCTGGGATGTGTCTGACTTAAGGAGAAAATGTAAAGAGAATTTTTCAAATGTACATGCTTTAGTCCTATTGTAAACCATTTCAGAAGTCAAGAAAATGGGAGAATTTATGAAATAATACAATCAAGGATTCATGGTCTGCCCCAGTATTTCCACCCCGCCCCCCTTCAACTTTTGGGCAAGAAATCAAAACAACACAAGTACATATAAAGTAAAAAGAAAAAGGTTTTTTTTTGTTTGTTTTTTTGTTGTTGTTGTTGTTTTTAAATGGCAGGGGTAAGGGGTGTCCCTCTAGGTGCACTATCAGTGTCTATTTCTGCAATTGTTTTCTTTGCATGTACTAGCATAATAAATATACATCCATATATACATATACATCCATATACACAGCTTATCTTTTTTTGGAGGGGGGAGGGTGCTAGAGATTGAACCCAAGGCCTTGCACATGTTAGATAAGTGCTCTATCACTGGCCATACCACCAATAACATTATTTTTAAAATTAAAAGATGGCCTGGGCATAGTGGCACACACCTGTAAGAAGCTGAGGCTAGAGGATTACAAGTTCAAGACCAACCTGGACAACTTAGTGAAACCCTGTCTCAAAAATTAAAAAGATAAAAAAATAAAACAAAGGTTGGGGATGTACCTCAGCAGTGAAATACTCCTGAGTTCAATCCCCAGTTCTAGCAAAAAACAAAAAGGTTGTGGGAATCATTCACTGGTAGGTAAAGTGTGCTTGGCATGCATAAGGCCCTACTACATACAATCCCCAGCACCCTGAAATTAAATTTTTTTAAAGAATTTTTTTTTAGTTGTCAATGGACTTTTATTTCTTTATTTGTGGCGATGAGAGTCAAAGCCACATGCTAGGCAAGCACTCTATCACTGAGCTACAACCCCAGCCCCAAAATTCAATTTTAAAAAATAACAGTCACTTTTCTACATCTTGCTTTTTTCACTCAAAACACCATATTCATCTTTCAGTAACTTCTAGAGCACTCTACCATATAGCTATCTGTAACTTCATCCATCAACAAAGTACTTCTTTGGGGCTATGGTGAAGTTTCATAGCAGAATGCTTCTCTACTATGCATGAGACCCTGGGTTCAAACCCCAGAACCACATACAAACACAAAGTACTTCGTTTTGAAAGCAAGGTTCCTCTGAAGGTGCTTTTTACTCAGCTTATTTCTCCCCTAAAAGTGTTTCTAATATTAATTATGTGATTAGTTTTTAGTTATTCAACAAAAAACATACCACCTTAAACCCCTCTCACATCTCTTTCTGATTTCCTGCCCTGAATGTGGTATATAATTTTACCATTAAACTGCATATTCTGTGACCACATAAAATTCAAATGCAAACAAGCCAAATTTTACTTACGTTACTGCATACTGTGCAAATGATAGATATTCTACCAGGACATCAAGGCCTTTGTTTTCTTCATTCAAAAACTCTCTGACCCATCTGGTGAAGAGAAAAAAAAAAAAATCATTGAAGAGGTTGACCACATGACCACATGATCTGCTATGGAGAGGACAACAGTGGCAAGTTTTGCTTTTCTGTCAGAAACATACAATGCTTCAAAGGAAATTCAGAGGAAAACCTAGGCTATTCCACATGCGGTAGAGGCTTCTAGAAAACTACATTTCCACACACAAAAACAAGGAGCAAAACCTGTGCGTGTGCCATTGCATTTCACTGCTTAGGAGGTTTAAGATAACCTATAAAAGAACTTTCCAAAAAAAGGAACTTGCTAAATGTACTTTTTTCCACCACAACTGATCCACAGGCTGCTTGATGAAGAAGCCAAGATTGCACAGAGAATGAGCAGACTAGGGACATGACGCCATAACCACTGAAATCCCGGCAGGGCTCCAAATCCACACTCAACTCCTTCTTGGCACACGAAGCTGTAGAAACCACTAAACTAGCCAATGAGAGGCCAGTGTTTATGGGCTTCTGGAAATTCAATAGAGGTAAAGATTTGCTTAATTTTTTCCATGAACGTTAAAACCTTTTAAAAGGCCGCAAGCACCGCAGGCCATCACCAAGGGCAACACGTGATAAAAATTTTTTTTTTTTTAAAGATTGAATTTTTAAAAATACCACCTTACATTTGAATGGTGATTAACATTTTGTTGAAAATGTAGACATTTTATTTGATCTTCATAATAATTCCAATCAGATGGTCAAACCTCATGTTTAGGTACTGAGGATAAACACCTGTTACCCCATTTTACAGATTTCCTCCAGTGTACTAACCTTCAAAGAACATGTGAGACCTGATTAAATCTTCACTCACTGAGAAACTCCAACAAATAATGAGGAAAAAGTTCATTGATTGTCATCAAAATGGTACTTGTGGGACATCTGCCAAATGCATTCCTAAATGGTTGCTCTCCTCCATAAACGCAGTGCCAAAAAGTCTGACCAACTATGAACACTAGAGCTACCATGGAAGCCAGTCTTATTATCTATTAAAATAGTAGGACAATTTTCCCTTGTGTCCTTACAGATGAGCAACTACTTAGGATATTTGTCTTTAAAAAAAAAAAGAAAGAAAGAAAAAAATCTGATGAACACAGGATGCTTGTTTTTAAATTTTTGGTGTTTCCTCTCCTTTGGATGGAGGGAGGGTCTTCATTTTTTTTTTCTAAGCATCAAGCTTATTATTTCTCCAAGCTCCTGTCACCTCCATGATGTAAACTCAGATCTACAGGTTCTTGTAGGAGGCAGAAAGGTGGGAAATTAAGACAGCTTGACTTGTATATCCCCCAAGTGCCTCAGACAGGCTACCATAAAACATATGCACTTCGCACAGCTGTGTGTAAGAATACAACCTTTACAAAAAACCCAGAGCAGCAACACTGGCAAAGAAAACAGCATCTGTTCACTCTCACAAAGCAGCTTTGTTATAAGACCTAAATGCAACTAACAGGGCTGCCTGCTGGTTGAGGCTGAAGTTTCCAAAACAGCCACATACGTGTTCTCACAGCATCCGTTTCTAGATACTTTATTTATTTTAAATATTCCCTATGCTGCTAGATTTCAGGAGACACTCAACAATTTTAAATGCTGATAATTACAAGCATAGAAAGAGTAAAAGCAAACTTTTTTTTTCTTTTTATGATTGGCAGGAGACTTAAGAACTAGAATTCTCCATCAAGATCAGAAAACTAGTCATTCATTAAATTCAGGCCCCCGTGTTTCCCCTTGGCCTCTCCACTGGTCTAGCCTATGGGCTCTGACTGTACAATGTCAATTGATCCAGGGTGGTGTCTTTTTAATATGAAAAATAACGATAAGGGTCCAGATTTGGAGGGCAGTCTCACTTTCACATATTAGTTGCCCACGAACTCAGAAGTAGAGAAAAGTAGTCATTGAAGTTCCTTCTGGTTGATTCTGTAGACACTGCCTCTGAAGAGTACAGATCCTTCAGGGTACCCTCCATACTAGCCAATGTCTCAACCACCAGCAGCCCCATCGCTCCTCAGACGTTCTGCCAAATTCGACAGGAGGCAAATGACCCAGACACAAAAAATTAACCAAAAAAAAAAAAAAGTAGGAAATAGCCAAACAAGTCCAGAGCAGCAGTCTTCTTGACTCAACATGCAAACATGTATATATTTTGATGCAAGAATAAAGATTAATTGGTTTTGTTTACTTCACTTTAACATGTTCATCAATGTCCTCATCCCCACATGCTGACATTGAGTAAAAGTGCCTTAAATGACAATTTCCATGAAATTCAGGAGCCTGTTGCTTACTTGCTAAAAGGCTAGCTAGAGTATAACATGCCCCGCTTCTGGTTGAATAATAAGCAATAAACCTATGTTTCTAAGCTATGAGATCCTCCCTGGGTCTCATCCATGACATCCCCAAGTGACATAGGAAAGAAGAAAATATAAATCATAGAAGATTGGCTACCTTATCTCCTTCATCAATGATATTAGCTGAGCAAAGCCATTCTAGCAAGAAGGATATGGATTATAAGAAAGACAGTCCCCCCTACTCCTCCTGTCCTCTCAGCCCCTGCCCTCCCCTGCTTGTGTTATTCTGTATGGAAAAGAACAGAACTAAAAGCAAACTTCCATGAAAAATGAAGGGGGGCAGGAGGATGAGAAGGGACAACTTTTAAAGCAGAATCTTGACTCTACAGGCACTCAAGGAATACGGCTGCCTCATTTTGGAAATCTACATACTTGATCATGTAATGATTCTATCATATATTTAGGGTTCCCATAATAATGTACTTCCATTTTCATCTTCATGCATGCTACTCACACTTTTTTTTAAAATATGTTGCCAATAGGCAAACAGTTTCAAATTGGGTGATTACAGGTTTTGGAAAGTAAAATTATTTCTGGCTCTTACAGCACACATTACTTCCCAAGTGCCTCACAGATTCAAATGTAATTACCATATGTTGTAAATTTAAATTCAGGCAAATTCCAAATCAGATGCTTAGAAGCTGGGAGAGACAGGGATCATGAAAAACTGGATTCAAAGAAGAGATGTAGGCGCAAATGCTAACAGTCACTGTTTTATTGTAGACTGCTCAAAGCTTTATTTCAAAACTTTGTTCTCCTTGCCTCCCCAAATCTTAGGATTTCATTATCCTCATATGCAAAATTAAGTCTTAAGGGACCCTCCTGGCTTTCAATTTCCAAGATCAAACAAAGCAGCCAGAATATGTACAAGAGAATAAGATAAATAATGAATTTCCTTTGCCAGTCTCCTTTAGAGAGAGATCTTATAGACAGACGGCAAGAAATGAAGTAGCCAAAAAATCATGGAAAACAAGAGAAAATAAGAACCATCAAGATTTGACACTGGTCATTAGGCCACTGATTCTCAAGGTGTAACCCACTCACCACAAGAGGTCCCTGAAACCTACTCAGGATGACTATGAGGATAAAACTATATCCACAAAAATATTAAGATGTTATTCTTTTTGCACTTTGTTAATTCCAACATTAATGACACAAAAGAAATGGTGGGTAAAACTGCTGCCCCCAAAGGATACACTTATTATCGCATTCTTTACCCCATGCACTCCAGGAAGGGTGGGAAGCAAGCCTCACTTGAGAACACCCTTAATAAAGCAATACATATTTTGAGTACATATCTTTTTAATTTTGTGTATGAAAAAACAGGAAGCTCATGTAAAAAGCACATCTGTTGGTTCAAGGAAAAGCACTTGGGCAGTTGTCTGAGTAGCATGCTGAACTTGCCATTTATTTTTTCACAGAGTGCCAGTTTACTTGTAAAAGTAACTGACAGGGTTGGGGTTATAGCTCTGTGGTAGAGCACTTGCCTAGCACATGTAAGGCACCAGGTTTGATCCTCAGAACCACACACAAAAAATAAATAAAATAAAGGTACTGTGTCCATCTACAACTAAAAAAATAATTTTAAAAAAGTAACTGATAAACTATTGTGATACAGTTTGGGGTAAGTCTGTCATTTTAGGGAAAACAACAGACAGTATTTGTCATCAGTGACAAAATTTGAGGTTTGAAGTAAAAGTAAAACTTTTGGAAAACATGTATTCACCACTAGTTCAGTTTCCCATTATTTAAAAGTATATTCTGATGAGTGAGACTAGTTATTATTGACAAATGTAATTTTTTAAAAAATATTGTGAATATTATAGAATGACATGTTTCAACAACTAAAAGAGCCAAATAAACTCACTGCAATAATGCTTTCCAATGATCAATGTGTGATGTTAAGAAATCACGTTATAAGCCGGTGCAGTGGCGCATGCCTGTAATCACAGGTAGAAAAAGCCAGGAAGATAGCAAGCTCCAGGCAACTTAGCAAGATCCTGTCTCAAAATTTGAAAAGAAAAAAGAAATATAGCTGGGGATGTAGTCCAATAGTAGAGAACTTAACTACTATGTGTGAAGCCCTAGGTTCAATCTTCCCATTCCTGGGAGGGAGGGATGAAGGAATCATGTCATAGACTCATGAGGAAAAAAGATCCATTCAAGGGGCTGGGGTTGTGGCTCAGTGGTAGAGCATTCAACCTAGAACCACATAAAAATAAATAAATAAAATGAAGGTATCATGTCCAACTACAACTAAAAAAATATTTTTGAAAAAAGATCCATTTGAATCAAATGTATGATATGTCAAGATCATTGTAATGTTTTGAGCAACTAATAAAAAAATTTTAAAAAAAAAGATCCATTCAAAATGCAAGACTACACAAGTGGATTTTAACATAATACAGCATTACCTTTAGGAAGTAATTTCTACTTCTTGTTGAATTCTGGTGTATTATTTTTTTAAAAAGGAATATCTGTCATTATCTGAGTAGGGCATTTAACAACTCTTCCTTTCTTCAAGTATGTATACGTGAAAGGCAAAAATTTTCTTCATATACATCAACTAAAACAATATCTCACAAACAATTGAACGTACACTCAGGACAATCTACTTTCTTTCTATTATTCAGATACTAAAGAGATTTGCAAAAATGTTTAAAGAAAAAAGCTACTTGTCACTAATTTTTTAAATTGGAAAATAGTTAATTTCATGAAATGTTAATATTCATACAAATATGTTTTTATATATCTAAATTAATGCTTACTAAATATTAAATCTTATTAAATACAATTAAAATATATGCTTTAATTTCCAAATATTTACATATTAATAGATGCAATGCACATAAACAAAAGCTTACTGGGGTTCAAAAACTTAAAGGGTTCTGACATTTAAAAAAAAATGGTGAGAACTGCTAGTATAGATAATGTACCTTAGATCTGGGCAAATCTACATTCAAACCTCAGTGGTTCCAAGTGGTGAGCAGTTCAATAAGATACTTAATAGCTGACCTTCAGTATTCTCATTCGTAAAACAATGGTTCAGGGATAAAGAGCAATAATGAGATTTTGGTAAGAAATAAATGAAACAGTACATTTAACATGCCTAACACAGTGCTTAATAAAAGACAAAACAATTATGATCTTGATTTCTAAAAAAGTAGGAATGAGTTAATCATAGGGTAGTTTGATGCATACATACACACCCCACACATGGTAAATGCATTTTAAAAGTAGGCCTGGTCACTCTCCTATCTTTCCCCATTTGGCATGGTCTAATCAGCATGATTGACAAAGAAGCCACTAAGCAGTCCCTCAGCTCCTTCCCTTGTATACAAACCTCTTCCCCTCCTTGCCAACTTACCTCATTCCTCTTGCAATCTCATGCCTGTTCACTCAGCTACCCATAAGATAAAGTGAAAGAAGCATCTTTCAAAACTTATATGACCTTGCACCCTGGATAAGAAGTAATTGTCCATCATTACAGGCAGTTTTACTAGAATGAATTACCTGCCAGGAGATCACCTACACCTCAGTTCCACAGAATAAAGCCAGTAAATCTATCCAGCTCACCCTTAGTATCACTTGAATCCTATCACCCTGACATCAGAAGCATGGTGACATCTGCCTGCCCATGCTATTTGCCAGTGTGTTCTAATGGTACTTGGTTCATTTCAAGGGTATTTCAAGTAATTTCAGGGACTTGGATAAGTTATAATCCAATTCTCTATTGTGATAGCTCCTAACAGTGAGTGAATGGGATTATTCCTAGCCCAAGTCTTATTTCAATTTGGCTCAAAGAAAATTAATTTTCTTTCTCAGAAGATTGCTCTATTTATAGAGTTTTAGGCTTATATCAAAACTCAGAACCTTTTGCTTGACAAAGCTGCAGCTTAGAATGTTATCTCAGCAAAGCCCAAGACTTTAACCTTGAAGTGCAAGCATGTGCCAAGAATAATTTTTTCAGAACAAGTAGATCTTAAATGTAATTCCTCCTTTTAATTTCTGGGAACTGCAAACTTCACAATACCCTAGGTATCAGGGTTATTTTAGATGGAGTAACACTCTGCATGGAATTCCTTAGGGATGTATTATATATTATTGTTGAATTATGAGTAGATATTATTTTCTAGAAGCATAACAATAAATAATAGCTATCACATATTGAATCACCACTACATATCAGGATTCTCTAGAAGACCTTTTATAAATTATCTCATTTAGTCCTCAGAACATCCCTATGAGCTAAGTACACTCATTTTATTTATTAACATATTTATGCTGCTGGCGATTGAACTGAGGGCTTCAGGCATGATAGGCAGGCGCTCTACCACTGAGCTATATCCTCAGCTCAAACACTCATTTTTACAGATAAGTTAACTTAGCTCACATGGTAAGTACAGATGGCTTGTGTAATATATCTAAGGTCAAATAACTAAAAGGGGGCATGGCAAAAGTTTGAATCAATATATCTTTTCATAAGACAAATAGACATCAAATAATTTAACTCAAAGGATTATGATAAAACCTATTGATCCCTTATATAGCACATTGCCTTCCAATACTCCCTCATGGTAATAATTTATTATCCTTATCATTAAGTAATTCTTTAGAAGATTTCCCAATCAAATGAGGTCGAGCCAGATAGTTCACATAATGAAGAGTCCAGTTCAGTTCCAGGTGTTTGGGATGGGAAAGACAGGTCAAAATCTTAGTGTGTGGTTTTATTTTCCAGATAAGTTTATGCCAGTAATTGGTTGCATATACCAAATAATGATGCATCTCCATGACTTTTTCTGCTGCTAAAGCCAAAGTTTTCAGTGGTGGGCAAGGGAAAACTTTAGCAAGTGAAGATGGAAGAAATTTAAAAATCTTCCAGCATACCTACAGTATCCTAAACAAACCATTTCAATTGCTTGCAGATTACACTGGCTTCAATCCAACCAGGACTCTTCTATTCTGACAACTTTGTACTGGAAATGATTGTCTTGCTTTGGTATTTGGTGGTCAATTTCAAGATATTTCATAAATGCCTGAAGAAATGTTTTTTGACAGGTTGTAGAAATCCTGGCTACAACTCATTCCACCATTATCAGTCAAGAAAGTGCCAAGATATAGGGTTGGACCATACCAAATAAAATCTCATTCCTGACCCATAAATATTGGAAAGTATTTCAACTTCTCAAGTTGAATGCCCAACTGTATTAAAGTACCATCAACATCACCCTCAACAGACAAGCCTCGTTGCTTTGATCCCAGAGTCCCGATTATCTTAATTTCCTTCACAGAAAGAGCTGCCAGGGTAAGCAAGTTGAAAAACCAGAGCTTCGAGCCAAAGCACCTGGATCTACAACCATATACTTTGTGCAATTCGCTGTCTCTGGGCCTTAATTTTTTTTCATCTGTAAAACGAGGGACTGGGCAAACCTTCTCTTCCACTTCCAGTTCTACAATAATGATTTTCTCTGATTCATTTCTCTAAGTCCATTTTTGTAGACAAAGACCAGGCTCATTTCATTTTCTGAAGACTTTGTTCTCAAAGTCACAAATCTGCCAGATTATCCTTTAGGAAAGGAACATCTTTACCCAAACCCTCTCATCTATAAATCACAATGGCATTTCTACAATTTAAAAAACTTGTTCTTTTCTGGTGGGTGCTAGGAATTGAACCCAAGGCTTTTCGCATGCTGGGCATGTACTCCACCATTAGGCTATTTCACCCAAAACCCCTAAAAGGATTTATTCTGAAATAATCGTACTAATGAACCATTTGAATGATTTATACCAATAATGGTCTAAAACACAAGAAAACTGCTATCTATGTAATGTATAACCTATATGTAATATGAGTATATAATTCCATTTTCAACATACCTCCAAAATATATCATAAAGGACATGAGAAGAAAATGTCCTCTCATTGAAAAGTCCAAAAAGTCAAACCTCAAAGAAGTTAAATACTTGCTTAATAGAAACACATACTTGGAGCAGAACAAAGGCTACAAAATCTGCTATCATTCTGCTTTGCAGACAAACCACCTTATTTTAAGATTCAATTATGCCATCCCAGGAATAAGAAAAAATGTAATAAAGTTGTATTTGCTTGAGGCAAAACACCATGTTGTTGCATGCAAGAAACTCTCAGAAATGCTAGTGCAGAGATTCCCTGAACTTTATTTTCCCAGAGAAGATTTATACTTCATGGTCCCAAGATTTTGAGAGTATGAATGAGAGACTCGGAACGTGTCTGGACTGGGTAAGGTTACATCACTCCAGTTTCTGTCCCTTTCTGGCCAGAAACTCTAGGGAATTGAGGAAGGGGAATAAAGCACCTTTAACTCACCATCTTAAAGAACCACAATGAAAGCTTAGAGATTTTTTAGGATCTCAGTCCACACCGTTCCTACCTTTTTTAAATACTGGAGATTGAATCCAGGGACACTTTACCACTGGGCTACACCCCCAGACCTTTTTCATTTTGAGACAGGGTTTCACGAAATTTCCCTGGGTGGGCTCAAACTTGTGATCCTCCTGCTGCAGCCTGCCAAGTGGCTGGGACTATAAGCATGCACCACTGCACATGGCAATCCACACCTACTCTTAAGATTTCCTGATTTGCCAGAGAATTGTCATGTACACATGAGAACAAGCACTCATCATGGACTGCCCATATTTACTGCATTGCAGCAAAGAAATATAGAATTGTTATATATATTCCAAATCAAGGACTATCTCTCCTTCTAATGATTCTGCACAGTGAGGAAGCTCAGTAGGATCAACAGATTCCACCCTATATAAACCTGACTTTTAACTTAGAATGAACAATAAGGAAACTCAAGTCTTTGGAAATGATTCAGCCACTTTGTAAAGTGCCCAAAGGTCTTATAGTTAAGATGATAAAGAGGCATACTTACCCAATGTGGTTAGTTCTTAAAGAGATTTCCAGTTCTCTTAGCACTTGCGTAGATTCTTGTACACGCCTTCTGAATTTCTATAATCAAAGAACACAGATTCTAACAAAACATACTTCAGCAACTGCTGCAACTACAGCTTTCTTATAATAAACTTAATAAAATATGAAAAGATCTTTATTCTGAAGCTGGCTTCTCTCACCCTCTCCCCAAAGCATAGAAATCTTTCTTATCATAAAAGTACCTTATGAGATAAAACTACAAAAATTATTTCATGTAGTATCTTTGAGTAAGTAGATTATTTTACCCTACTCCACATATATAATAATATTCACCAATATAGCTACGGGTCAGGGATTCCAAGATCATCCCATTTCAGTGATTCACTAGGAGGACTCAAGGGCTCAGAATATAGTCACACTCACAGCTGTGGTTTATTACAACAAAAGAAAGCAAAGCTAAATTGGCAAAGCAAGAAGATAAAAGGAATGAAGTATGCAGGATACCTGGTGCAAGTTTACAACAGTCCCCTCCCCCCAGGAATCACAAATGACAACAGTCATGAAGTTCACTGGAGACCCAGCATCTAAGGTTTTCACTTGGGGGGGGGGGGGGTTGGTCTCAAGGCACTCTCTGCCCTATTCATGGAAAAATTCCAGACTCCCAGGGGAAAAATGGGCACTCAGCATAAACCATTTTTTTTTTTTTCAATAACAGTTTAGGCACAGTAAGCCATTCTTAGGGAATGGTGGGAACCCTCCCAAAATACAGATGCCAACCATGCAAGCAGGTCTTGCTCAGCACAGAAAAGTCTCAAGCTTGCTACATCAAATTCCTCTCTGCTACACCTAATGTGTTCCAAAAACAAACATTCATCATTATCTCTGCCCCTTAGTCCTCACTTAGGAGGTCCCTCCTGTGGAACATTTCCCACATGCACATACACATACCCATATACACGCAGTATATCCTTCCTCATTCTCTTGCCTATCAAAATCCTACCTGCCCTTCCAGGACTCCATTGGGAGTTCTTTCTTAACGAATCCTTCTATATCTCTCTATCCTCTTGAATCTAAACCATTTCCAAGACACCAATGGATTGCACTACAATTAGTTCTCTGGAACACATTTTTCTACAGAAACATTTAATTTATAGTGACCACAGTCTCAGGCCATGCTGAAAGAAGGAAATTGATGTGCAATCCCTTCTAACCAGGCTATCTGAGACATAGACCTGAGCCACCCTTACATTACACTGTTTACAGGAAAAAGCTTTGTGAACTCATGCTCAGGATATGAAGGACCCTTCTCTGCTGTCACAAGTGCTGTGGAAACAACAGTCATCAGCTCCAAACCCTGAAAATGGCTCTCATGGCTTCAGAGAAAGATGTCCAAGGACAGGAAGGAAAGGCAGGAGGTGGAAAATAAAGATTTGAGTATGTGGGGTGGCAAGAGCCCTGTCACACACTTGGGACCTGGTGGCCTAATGGAGACTTGGAACATGGCTCAGCTTAGGCAGGCTCCTCTCACCCTCTTCTCTTCCCTTTGGCTTCCTTACAGTTTCTCCATAACTGCTATTCCCCAAACATGCTAAGAAGATGTAATGTTTTGGGAATCCAGATGTAGTGGGATATAGTAAATAAAAATATCCCTAATGTAATGAAAAAGAGAAACATTCCCTTTTTCATTTAAAAAAAAAACAAAACTAAGAAATGGGAAGGTCATTGATGTTTGGAGGAACATCTAAGCCCAGATTCCTTGACCCCTTTCCAGCAATAAAGATGCTCAGTGCAATACAGGATAAGAAAGGGGAGCACAGCAGGATGGTTGGCTAAAGGGTTCACTCATTCTTTAAACACTTCACTTTGAGATTAAAAGCAGTAATTGAGTAGAAAGGAATCAATGGGTGAGGTGGGCAATTATAGAAGGAAAGAGAAGACAGAAAACCTTATATTCTTCATTTGCTAAAAGGAAGATAGGACCTGTGAGGAGACTACACAGTCAGCTTTTTCTAGGTGTGCTGCCCACTCCCTAGTAGCTATTCACGCCTTTGTCCTAAGTCTTAGGCTGTGTGCACATGAGGCCTTCAGAAAACACTGCAGCATTCCAAGTTGCGCATTAGGCACAGTTCTGACTTGCTCCCTGAGGCCTTTGCTGCTTCCCTAACTCTGCCTTATGCTTCCTCAGGCAACATTGTCCCCTACACATCATCAGCCCCAAAGGCACAAGCTTATCAGTGAGAGCATAATGGCATTTATGAGGATCAGGTGAAGGGTTAAGATGTGTGTGTGTGTATGTGTGTGTGTGTGTATCTCAAAACAAGGTAAGCAAATCAAGGCACTAGATAATAGTAACAGGAGCAGCTAACATTTCCTAGGCACTGACCATCCTGGGCATTGTCCTTTTGCAACCGCATGGTAACTGAGGTAAATGGAACCAGACTTTATCCCTGTATTGTACTAACTTGGGAACAGCTCAATTTTAGTCTGGATTCTAGACGATAGAGAAGCTTTGGAATCCCCTTCTCTATATAACACATAAACAATGAATGCTAACACTTTGCACTTGTACAATGTATCCTGAATGCTTTAAAACACTTCAAGGAGAAATCATGAGCCCAGGGGGATCAGCAAGGAGGAGCCAGGTAGAATCCATTTGTTCTGTACTCTTTTCCTTCCTTCCCTAGAAAAGGAGGGCCTGTGGATGAACCCAGGGCAGCAGCTGACCCCAGGGTGAGCCACACAAAAGGTTTCATTCCCCAAGTGCAGCTCTAGCAAAGGCCAAAACTTCTTTTTTCATGGTCTGCAGCCTTTTCCCTGCCAGACATGAATACATCCTTCCCCCCAAGCACAGTCTAATAAGTGCCTGATATTAAACACGGAGGCTGATTTAGAGAGTTCTGGTCTCAGAGATATCTAATTTAGGCTCTTCCTTCCCTGCCCTGGAGGGCTTCATTTAAAACTACTGAAAAGAATATCTAAATAGAACATGCTAAAGAATTTAAAAAATTTTTTAAAAAAGGTATTTCCATTTAATTTGAACAAAAGATTAATGAATGAAGTACTAGAGGGCTCCAGACACAGTTAAAGGAAGACTGCTCAACCTAGACTGTTGGTGCTAAAATTTAAAGCTCTGATTTGAAATCACCCCACCACCACCATACTAGGGCTGAGAATTTTAAGCTCATTTTAGCTGCAAGCCATGCCTTATTCCAAACAAATCTCCCTTTTTTCTGGGTTTTAAGCATTATAACTATGTTGTGCAGAACAGATCCTCTCCTACTGCCAGCTCGCAACAGCAGAGGTAGTTAATCCAACCTCCAGTTTATCCTTTTTTTTTTTTTTTTTGCCTGTTTAAATGACTGTTTTTTGCCTCATCCTTCAAGACCAAACTAGGGCATTCGGGTGGACACGCATGGTTCAGGGCAGAGGCGTCAGGGAGCAAACATGCAGACAGGGATTTGGGGTCCTATTCCTCTTTGTTAAATGATTTCTGAGAGAGCCCTACTCAGCTCAGAAGGTGTGTGCCTAGTAAAAGGGCTCAAGCCATACAGCCTGGAAGTTACAAGCTTGGGAAATTATGAAAACCTTTAGAAAACTTTTTGAAATCCATTTTTTTTTTTTTTTTTTTTGTTTTGCTTGACTTTTTTGGGAGGTGTGGAATAAGGAAGGGTTAGCGTGGAAGAGGGAAAAAGTTTTAGTTTAAAAAATTCAAGCGCCAAGAGCCCTGAAAACTGGCTCCCCGGAAAAAGTGTGCCTTTCTTTTCTCATAAGTCACATGCCAAGACAACAGAGAATTCAGCTTGAGATATTTTCACTGGGTCCTTGAAAGCAGGAGTTGTGGAAGGTCGAGGAAAAAACAAATGCTGCTGTCTGGTGAAGAGCCACTTCATCCATCCTGAGCAAGGGCGGCTCTGCCCTGAGACATCCCAGGACCCATCCAGGCCTGCAGGGCCGTGCCAGGCTCCATGCTTTACCACAAGGATCGGCTTAAACCAATTGTGTGGCTGCACAAAGCAGGGCTTGTTTGTAAAAGGATAGCCAGTTGAGAATGGAAGCAACTATTCTCTCCTTACCTTCTTCGGGCCAGAGGCAGGGTTTGGGGCCAGGGAACCTACTAAAAGTATCAACACAGGATGTGACTGCACAGCTGGGATGACAAAGCCCCAGTGATTTTTCAAAGTCTCTAGAAATGCACCAAAGCATGAAAGACAAGTATTCCTTTTGCAAAGCCTGCTTGTCCTGGGGCCTACCCACCTTTGGGCTGGACTCACTGCCCTGTGTAATTGGAAATAGCAGTGAGTCAATAACCATTAGAGGTATGTGACCTCCATGGAGCAAAGTACTCTTAAATGCTTCCTTAAGCAAGGAGGATGGTGGAGTACCCTCACCCCTTGTCTTCTCATGTTTTCAGTATCCAAAGGTGGTTTTCCTAGAGGCTTTGGCAGACACAAATGCAAGGGAAAGAAAATCTTTCCAAGTACAGAGGATTCTGTCCACTAATGAGGAAGCTACAACACAGAATGAAAACAAATCCCCTTACCTTCCTGGTTACAGCTGGATCCAGATAGCCTTTGAGCTTTTGAATGTATGTATGGGGAGGATTCTTCACCTGGAATCGTTCCTGCAGGAAGCACAAAGGCAAAGAGCATGAAAGGTATGAAGGCATGACACAGTCCGCTACATCACACAGATTAGTGTCACTGACCATGGCCAAAATGCATCCCAGGAGAATGTGGCCCTGCAAATAAGCACTATGCACTAATTGTTTTGAATCTTTATAGTAGATGATCTTCTCTTGGCATAGGAAGAAACTGAAGCTCAGCGAAATGTAATACTTTCCTTTGATGCCAAAGCTTGTTGGTGGTACAAAAGGATACAAACCCATGTCTGCTCAGCTCCAGAATATGAAATGCTTTCTCTACAGGGTATTCTTGGCCTGACCTATTTCAAGTCCTCCTGAACAAGCCTTCATTAGATCATATATTTCTTGGGATGTCTTCAATGTTGGCAAATCTTTCAGACAATCATTTAGTTTCATCCCGTATTTTTAGACTTGACTCAAAGTAGATACAACTTATTTGTTTCAAAAATAAGTGTTGAGTCTATAGCCAAGAGACTGGAGTGTGGAGCATGTGAGTGTGAACACAGGTATGTGTGTTATCATTAATGGGCTCCTTAAGCAGCTCCTAGTTATGAGATCCAAAAATATTTTGATCAGGTATATATATACATACAATGTGTGTGTGTGGGTGTGTGTACACATGTGTACATCCACATTTGCACACACTTGTAGAGAAACAGCATAAAAGTCATGGATGAAGGGCCAATGAAGGGAACGGTCATAATCATAAAGGCAAAGACAGAACACTCCTGAGATGCTGGCAAAGTGCTATTTCAGGACCTGCATCGTAGTTACCAGGCATTGACTTTATTCTACTTAATATGCCAGTTCTCAGGTTTCACAACCTTTTCTGTATATATTCTACAAGGAGGATGGTTTAATCAGCTCTAAAAGAAAACCAAGCTGGGCACCGTGGCACATGCCTATAATCCCAGTGACTGGGGAGGCTGAGGCAGGAGGATCACAAGTTCAAAGCCAGCCTCAGCAACTTAGTGAGACACTTAGCAACTCAGCAAGACCCTGTCTCTAATAAAATATTTTGCAAAAATATTTAATTATGTCTGGGGATGTGGCTCAGTGGTTAAGCACCCCTGGGAAAGAAAAGAAAGAAAGAAAGAAAAGAAGGAAGGAAGGAAGGAAGGAAGGAAGGAAGGAAGGAAGGAAGGAAGGAAGGAAGGAAGGAAAAGAAAGAAAGAAAGAGGGCTGGGGTTGCAGTTCAGCAGCAGAGTGCTCATTTAGTATGTGCAAGGCACTGCGTTTGATCCTCAGTACCATATAAAAATAAATAAAATAAAGATACAAAAAATATTTTAAAAAAAGAAAACCATGAAATGAGAATGGATTTTATCACTTTCATGTTCTTTTCTACCTACAACTCAAAAGATGTTTTCCTCATCTTTCTTTTTAATCTGATTATTGCTTACTTTAGAATGAAATTTTTTGATATTTTGTAACACTGGCAACAGGCCAACATGATTAAGCATTTCTTTATCCCTTATAAACTTGTGTTTCTCCAATACAAAGGACCACCACATTCTTCCTGATCCACTCAAGTCTTTACAGATTTAGAAAAGCTAAAGATCATCTGATATTGAAAGAACCTCTTATTACAGAAATTTATTGAAACAGCTATTACTAATATTTAATACTTTATAACAGGGGAAGTAGTTTGTCATTAAACATCTACTAATATTTCCCCTTTATTTAAAAATGAGCAGGATGAACTTTTTAGTATGTAAACTATATCTCAATAAAGTTCTTTAAAAAGAGATCAACATACTGTTGCTAATTATTCCCTCAAATTTTCAATCCTGAGAGCAATTTTCTTTCTTTTGGTACTAGAGATTGAACACAGGGGCTCTTTACTTCTGAGCTACATCCCCAGTCCTATTTATTTGTTTATTTAGTGCTAGGATCTCCCTTAGTTGCTCAGGGTCTCTCTAAATTGCTTAGCATGACCTAGAACCTGCAATAGTCTGGCCTCAGCCTCCAAATTGCTGGAATTACAGACATATACCACTGTGCCCAGTCTGACAGCAATTGCTAAGTAACAATTCACTAGTATTCACCATGTTTAGTGACATTATTGTATCTATGCATGAAAACATATGAATTTTTTTTTTTCTTTTCAACACTAACACTTTGCTAAGAGATCATAGGAGAATCTACTGCCATAGGGTTAGCAATGCTGTTGCTGAGGACCAAAATAATCACAAAAAGTTCTGGAAAATGAACTGATTAAACCATGACTGCCAACCTGTGTTTGCTAACAAAAGCTGATGTCAGAGAGAGAGAGATTAGGATATTAATTTAAAAATATGATTTTTAAGAACACAATTGCAATTATTCAAAAATTTAAAAATCCAATGATGACACAAACAGCTCCTCTCCAGCACAGCAAATACCACCTATCTCTAAATAAAAAGTACCTAAAACTTGAGACTCAACAAATTGTAACTCCACCAAATGCACTGTTTCAAGATTTAAAAATCTCAGCCCATCAACAGTTGCTAAGAGACTTCTGTTTTCTTGCTCTTTTAGGCTATTTATCTGTTCATAAGAGAACAGTCATATTTATTCCTTTAAAACAAGAAATTTTGGTGACTCAGAGGGGCTTTCTCAAAAATACACACTTACTGGTCCTGTTGACTTGATTGTATTTCCTTTCTGAATACAAGAAATTATGGACAAGGTCTAAATTTAATAAACCTATACTTGTGTTTAGTATTTGCTACTATGGTTTCAGAGCCTTTGAACAGCAGCTCTGATGATAGGACCCAGTCAGTCAAACTCGTGTCCAAACTAAAAGTCATTTGCTGCTGAGCCTGTGCTGTGTCTCTCACATGTTCTGCAAGTGCCAAATGGCTTTCATAATGACACATTTCTCATTAACTGGTCACCAGGAAGGCAAGGCTGCTTATACAGAACTGCTCTCAGAGAGGGGAAAAGGAAAAGCATTTATTGGACTTCACTCATATCAACTGCAACAAGAAGTGGAAAACCCAGGCGATTCCTAAAGGAACTGTACAAAGGGGCTATGATGTGCACTAAATAATTAGGTAAATAATTAGGTAAATCCCTGTGAGTGGAACTCATTGGCTAGACTACAACATGGCTTTTGCTATGAGATGCAAAGCTTCCAGTTTTTTCAAACCTGGACTATTTCTTTGGGAACAGTTCCCCTCCTCACTTATATGAATGAAATTTCTCACTGAAAGCTTTTCTGTATAAAAATTGGGACCTGGATATTCCACTCCTCTAGCAAAAACATTTCTGATCTTTTACAGCCTCTCTATCCACCTGTACAATTAATTACACAAGAAATTAATTGAGGTTAATTTGGTATGAGATTGACTTACAACAATCAAATTATAAACATTTCCACTCTATAAATCATTTGGATAAGCAGCTCCAAAATCAAACAAAATCCTAGTCAAGTTTATGTTATACCTTAATATTCTGAGATTTAATGAAAGAAATTACAGCAAGACATTTGGAAAAAAAAAAAAAGTCTCTAGGAAATGAATGTCTCTCAGGGAATACACTTATTGTTGAGTTTCTCTCCCTGTCTGGGATGGTCACAGGGTCACTGGCTCTAAGTCGGTAGTATAACAACAGAGCTACACAAACAGCTTAAGTATCCTTAAGGATGAATTAGATGTCACCATCATTATGCCATTATTAATGTTTTTTATTTGGATCCTGTAATAATTCACAATGGATAGTGAAAATTCAAAGGGCTTTGCTTTTTTTACACATAAGTTTACCACACTTGAATGCCTCCCCACCTTAGAAGCTGGAAGTAGCTGGGGTTGGGCATCCTTTCCCAAGTCTGAGTAAGCAAACTATAGTCTCCAAATGAGCCATAATCACAACTAGAACCATTGCCATTAATGAGTACTAATTTGGAAGATTCAGCTTGGTGCTAAGTGCTCCTCAGAGTTCGATGAACAGAAATAATCCATGTCCTCAAAGAGTGTACCCTCTTAAATAGAATGCTGACACAGTAGACATGGAGAAGATGAGAATAAAATGTCACATTAATATTGTTTATAGATAGAAAATACTTATACAGTGTACAAAAGACCAAGAATAGTGCATTTGTATGGAGAAGGGGGTGCCAAAACCAATCAGATTTCCTAAGTTGGAGGCATTGAGGTAAGCCATAACACATCAGCCCTCATAGGGAGAATTATTTATACAAATAAAAAATAACTGACACAAAGTGAGCTACACTCTCCCAAGAAATTGAGAGCACCAAAGTCTCTAAGAAAGCTTATACATGTTCTCGCCCCAAAATATTTTAATTTCAAAGGGGATGTCACGGGCTGGGGATGTGGCTCAAGTGGTAGCACGCTCGTCTGGCATGCGTGCGGCCCGGGTTCAATCCTCAGCACCACATACCAACAAAGATGTTGTGTCTGCCAATAACTAAAAAAATAAATAAATAAATATGTTTAAAAAAAAAGGGGGGGGGATGTCAGATTCTTCTTATAGAAAGTACAAATATAGGAGTATATGGAGAATGATGAGAAAGGAGAGGATGATTTGAGGAAAATGACTGTTGGGAATGGTGGCATGTACCTGTAAGTATCACAAGTTTGAGTCTATTCTGTGGAACTTGGTAAAAGGCCCTGTCTCAAAACAAATAAAAAGGGCTGAGGGTCTAGCTCAATGGTAGAAACACTTGCCCAACATTTGTGAGGTCAATCTCCAGTACTAGAAATAAAAGGCAAGGGCGGGGGGGGGGGGGGGGGGGGCGACTCTACCTATTAATTGCAATAGGCGGCCATGGGCAAGTTCTGATGGGATTCTAATTTGCAAAACAACTACCAAAGGAAACCAGTGCCAGCCCAGCTGTGCTACTGTTCAGGGGAGGTTCCTGTGGTTACTAATGGATAAAAACATTCTACCAAACAAGACCCCATCCCTGAACATTTTGAATAATGCTACCACATTTAGGACCCCTATTTTCAGGCACTGGCATGAATAATACCAAA